CGTTTTAAAGCTTCGTTTCCGGGAATTACCTAAGTTCCCAGAGGCATCGTGATCTGCAGACAAAAATCACTGCTGGGAAAAACGAAAAGCTACGTCATTCTTGCTGCTGCTCTCGACCGCTCTACTGTCACTATTAGATTTCCCTGCTTATGTGCCCACCCACAATTTGTTGTTTACCAACCCATATAGTTTTCTCCTACTAGGTCTGGAATGTCTTCTTTCAGGCAGCTTTTCTCATACTAGTTCTTCTAGTAGCTAAAGCCGTTTTACCTATTTTTGTGGTTCTTCTGCTTCGTTTTACCCCGTTTGATGATGCATCATTTACCTGTCTGGTGCAAGTTATGGTTGCGTCAACCCTGTATTTTCTAGAAGCGGTACCTGCGGAACCTTTGGAATCCTCACAAATATTATCTTCATCATTTACATCTCTATTAACATCAACATCCGACCTTTTAATATTTCCAATAGTCTTGCCCCCACAGTTGGCGTCACCAATCACAGTCTCGTCTTTGTTACCAGCAGAGTTTTCAGCCTTACGTTTTCCTTTGCCCCTGTCAGAAACATTGACTAACGATAAACTTTTTTACATCGTAACATTGAACATAAGTATGAGTTCACCCTTCAGGAGTGATCTGAATTCATTCCCTCAATCAGTAAAACTAGAAGTTATATTCTCTCTCGTCGTTTGGTGCTCAATTGAAACTAAAAATGTGACAATGAAAGTTGCACTTGATCCCAGACCGACAATCAAAAGTACTGACCAAGCACCAAAACAATAATCAGTAACACTGCTTTCATTCACATAAACAGGTTGCAGAACATGGCGTTGAGTGCCAAGATTAAAATAGCCAAGCTATAGACTCCATTGCGTTTTGTGAACTTACCAGACAATTGATTTGGTGAAACAATTCGTATTCCATTTGGATGCTTGTGAAATGGCATCTCAATTTATTTACAATGCATAAATCTCCTGAGTAAAAACTTCTCCCGGGAGTATGTGGCATGCTCGGTAAGATTTCTCAATATTGTAGAGTGTTTGTTTTGCTTTTCTCCTACAATTCACACTAGTCTTTTTACTGTTTAGATAAGTTCATTTAGGTAAAAAACTGATTATGTTAACACTCTTACCTCTCACAAAACTGACACTTCAGGAACTACAAAAATACACATGACTCCCAAGAAAAAATACACATAGTTACAAACACAAAGGCGTTAATATCTGCCATAAATCATTAAGAATAACGGAAACCAGACATTTGAATGTACTTACGCATGATTTTCTGGATTCCATACCCTGACCATTGGGCCAATCGAATTAGCACCAAAATGTCCATCGTCACGTAACGTCGCAGAAGCCTGAAATGGAAGAAGTAATCATATAAATATATATCAACTTGAACCAAATAGATATAACAAATCCAGCTAGAGAATGGCAATAAATGAAATGCAAACAAATCTCTCTTTTATTAAGAATTCCGAGACAGTGATAAATTAAGAATTCTTTTGTTAGGAGTTTGTTCTCTATTATCTCTCTCTTGTGTTTGTTCTTCTGGTTTTTAACTCTATTATTAATCCTGTTTATTCTAATTCTCCCTATAGTTCACCTTTATCCTTAATTTCCTCTAGCCTATCTTTATTCTTTTATTCTCTTCATATTTTCCTCCAGTTCTCTACTTTGTAGGATAATCCTGATTTTACCATTACTTGTCCCACATCACTTCCCTACAGTAATTCTTATTTCTTCTAGCAAATCCTCCTTGTCCAACACCATAATTGGTTAATGCAACCAAAAATAAGAAAGAATTTTATTTATTTATTTTGACAAACAGAACTCTGAAAGAATTTAAGAAGCAA